TTCAACTAGAAAAGAACATTTTTTTGCGATTTGCATAACATCTTGTCGCAAAGTTTTCCAGTCATAATCTAATAAATCATCATTGCTTGATAAAAAGGTGGAAATAACTAAGTGTAAAATTGAACATGAGCTGTCAATGGAATTATCATATCCGCTGAAAATGGTCCATTTGGTTTTTGAATGAAACATCTCAATATGTATACCAACAGGTGTAAATACTTTTCTTAATTCCATCCTAAAAAAATCAATAAATTTGTGGGCAAAATTGAGTTCGATATTGGTATTGATTTCCAACAAAACATCTAGGATAAGGTCAGTGTCGACGCCATTGGAAACGCATTCTCCATAGAGTGGGTGAAAACCTATTGGACAGAACAATTCCAAACACCCATCCTGAAACATAAAATCATGGCAAATACTTCCAAAAACATTGTTTTAAATAGGTCAACAAATGAGAATGCAAATCAAAGTCCTTAGTTCATGTCTTATCATTTCTTTTGATATTCAATTGGTTGTAAAGTTTCTCGTATTTATAGGTGTATAGTAGAATATGAATGATTACAAATGCACACAAGGGCATGCATGAAACTTATGATGATATAATTTAATCAAAAATCATGAAAAAGACATTCATTGATGACGTAAAAATATGAAGTTAAACATACCGTCTCGGAAATACTTATGTCCATTTCCTTACAGTTGGTTTCCCCGTAGTCTTCTGATTTTGAAAGCAAAGAAGAAATATCGAGGATAGTAGTGAGGACAAAACTCATATGATGTATTCTTGGAGGTAATATGCAACTTATTTCGAAACTAGAATCGAACACTTCCAACTTACTCTCAGCACATTTTGTATTTCTCAGGTAAAAACTTTCTGTTGCACTTTGGGCAAATAAAGGCTCGAGAATTCCTGAAGAACAAACGTTTTCCTCTTCTGGCGTCCAAGTGGGATCTTGGAAAATGAAAAAACAGTTTCTAGAAAATTGCGGAAATGGAGAAATGAATCTGTATTCACACAAAGTACTATTAATTAAGTGAAATAAGTGGTCTTTAAATCCCTTCCGATGATCCAAAAACATTGGGACATTGCATTGAAGATTCGAACCAAATCCAATCCAGCTGGATATCCCGTGGCATATAGCACAGTATTTATTCCGGAAAGTCGATGACGATTTTTTGTCAAACACCGGAACCATTTCCATAAACGTTTCGTGTTTCCTTTTTTCACATTTGTCACGAACAAAATCATTTGACCAGTTGTGTTTGCATTTGGAAATCATAAATATATGATTTCTGATGCCACCTATATTCGATACCGGGTTGCACTCAGGTAAAGAACTATTTCCAATTGATTCGGAAGGTGACGTTTCCGCGTTTTTTGCGTCGGCGCAACAGTCCATATATGTGTTGCAGAGATCGTCACAGTAGCATAATAAACGATTTTGATTGTTACATCTAAAATACGTATCTGTGCATTCTCTTATATTTTGTGGTAATGTGAATGAAGTGTTCTCTCGTGCTTGGATAACATCTATTGTAGCTTGTAGAAATGACAAGAGGATGACCAATCTGTTCAATATAATATATTCTTATCATGTACAACTCACAATGTCTGTTTGTATACACTGATTCGATAATATCAAATCAATTACAGTTAAAAAAAACCAAGATTTTTTTTTCTTGAATAAGAAAATATTTAAATTGATTTGCAAAGAAACTTGAACACAAGTTAATATCAAATTTCAATATGTCTTTAGAATTGAATTCAACTATGGTTCTAAAGAGTGGGAATCTAAATGACGACTTAAGAAAATGAAAAGAAATCGTAGTAAATCAAAGATACATGGTAATCTGTTTCACACTTATAAACTATGTTAAAAACACTGGTTAAGCCGTTAAAAATACCAATTGAATTTCCCTGATGATCTTAAGATATGATAAATACCTCACAACAGCACATGCGGGCCACATATTATTCTTCGGGAAAACACACCATTCGAATTACTGAAACAGTTCCTGAGAAGTGTATGATATAAGATCTGGTCTCTAGCCAAAGACACTTTGATATGACAATTATTGTTGATAAAGACACAAATTACACTATCCTAACCATTCAGTGCCATTTCAAAACATAGTGTCCAAATAAAGCCATTTTATATATTATATACGTTTCTTCGACAGAATATTGTAATAAGATGTGATTATAAATTTTGCTCATTACGAGGAAAGCGATACATTGGACTTTATGTAAATTTAACGACACGTAGATTTAAGCATTAACCCTTTTATTTTCCAATCTTTATAATGTATAACTAATTATCTACATACCTTGTCATCATCCTCGATGGCATTTCCATTACAGGGATACGGTTATACACTAAAGGCTCTTCCTGGTCAAATATTAATATCTGAAGATAATTACTAGCAAAAGATAATATTTGTTTGGTTATTGAAAAAATGAAATAAAAAATAGGATGATTTCACATTTAATTATGTGACCAAAAAGCAACTCATGATTAATTCATATAGTTTTCATTACGAGTTTTAAAAATGTGAACACGTTTGACTATTATTAGGGTGTAAGTACGTCAATGCCATCGATTTGAATGAAAACGAAACTTTCATCACTTGAATGCTGCTTTCAATTGACTATCTCCTTCACAAAGCGATATCTTTCATAACTTCATATTGAATAAGATATGTCATATATTGCCTGAAATGCTTTTGATGATAAATACAGTTGCGGTCGGTTTTTATTTAAGATATATCAAAGATCATAGGACTCTTTCATATATGTGCATTATAGGAATATCATATCTCGAGAATTACACAAAGTTGAAAAATACTTTTTTCATTCAGTTTCGATTTTTCCTCCGTCACCTCTTTGATAACAAAAATAACACGCTTTTCGTCATACTGTGATAGTTCGCCTCACCTTATTTGATATTTTGACATTGGTTTGATAATAAGATAATAACAAGATAATTAAGGATAAAGTGTTGATTTCTTTCTGATTCAACACTGCATTTTTCACCTAAAAACATGAAAATATGGTGGTAAGAAATTGTTTGTTTGTTTATTTACTGAAAGAAATAGGATGCTTTCATATTCGATCTTTTGACTAAAAAGTATTTCAGAGCCATTTAATGTAGTCTTATTTCTCATTACCTGAGGACTTTTTATTTATTTTTTTTTCATTATTAGTCCCCGAGATGTGCCGTGACCTGCATATTACATTTTAATTTATACATATGTACATGACGTTCTAAAAAAAAAAAAAAATATTGAAATCTGGGGCAAGTCCACATCCCCATCAAGATTTTGACATTTTTTTCATATCACTTAAGATTTTCCTCTCATTTGCCTCCTGAGTTTTAAGATCTTGGCCCTTATCATCATAGACAGGTAATTATCACACATTGATATATATATAGTTCTCATTACAAAGAGTACAACGTAACTTGTCCGAAATCGGATAGTTTGACCTATGGTTTTATAACCTCCTTAAGCTTTACTTAATAGAGATTAGTGTTATTATGATACAGGTTTGTACGAAAAAAAAGGACATGTAAGATTAAATGTTTAATCCACTGTTCGTATACACGGTGTACAATGTACGTTATTATAACCAAAATGTAATATTACAAGCTAACATTACTTTGATCAGAACATATAGGTCAGACTCTGTATTAATATTAGTCATTACTAATATCAATATAGAGTGTCGGGGCATTATAAGATTATTACCAATGAATGCTACAGTATAAAGCCGAAAGAAAGCCAGTAGAGCGTGTCCTTAAGGGACCGACAGCGTTATAATGATCTTAAGTATGTTATTTTAAACATTTTTTATTTCCTATCTTACTCTTTTTTATAAGAAGCATTATAATTTGATTAATCTCTTAATTCCTTTTCAGGACTGAAAATAAGGTAACATTAGAGAGCTTAAGACTGATTAACGATATTGGTGTGCTAAGTGTGGAAAGTCTGCATAACGGAAGAAACAAAGTTAAAACAAATCAATTTTGTAGATCAAGAAATCAGTCTAATTAAAAGAACTTGATAAACAATGATCTATGAATGACATAGCAAAGTTTTTTTTTACAGTTAATAAAGAGAATAGCTTTTGGAATGAATTAACATTTGCCTTTGACGAACTTAACTTACCGAGTTCAAGGAATAAACACATTTTTATTCATTTCTATTTACTTTTTTGTTTTCGATTTATTTTCTCAATATATTTTCAAATTGCTGCCAAGCCATATTTTTGAAACACATATTAATGTCTACACAACCAACCTAGAAAACGTCTCTTAAATAATTCATATTGTGAAATAATTAAGCTAATATAATGAATACATACATTAGAGTGCATTCAGTTTGTAATTGGTTCACATTATTATATATGTGTTTTAGTGAATTTCATTTGATATATGATTCCAGTAAATCATGTGACTCAAAAGTGATTAATTTAGTGAGTCTATAAAAATACAGCAAACATTTGCACGATGTTATGACCCTACATTTTTTGTATATTATGAAATTTGTACCGAGTTTCTTTGAAAAACAGGAGGAATATCGAAAACCATCTCATCCTTCGAATAAGGTTTATCTAATCACATCACCTTATGTCTTATCATAAAGCCCATTTAAGAAAATATTTCCCCGGCGGAGAGTAAGACTTCTTGATGAATGCAAAAAGAAAAAGAAAAAAGAAAATAGAAAGAACGGAGATCGGGACAACTATGAAAGCGAAAGAATGAATGAAGAATAATCGAGACACAAGAAAAATCGTCACTTGTAATTATTCTGAAGACCATAATATATGGATACTGGATATTATAATCACTCTCAGCATAATTCAGTCTAATGATTTTATTTTGACGGTAGTGACATCGGCCACTTTCTGAGCGATGTTGTCTAGATGTAATGGAAATTGTCATATAGGGACAAAGAACCTACTTCAGAGAGGGACATAACCGGAAGAGATTTATGTCAGAATGAAAACGGGCATGAGTTCAAGACAGGTATAATCGGAACAGTGTAATGTTACTGGACCATGTTATTTTTCATAAGGCGATTTAGACATAATCTTATATAGGTAAATGAATTAGGGCAGTACATTGAGTCAGAACCATTAACCAACATTGTGCGTCCTGATAGGACCGATAGCGTCATTTGTTATGATGGTAAGTAAATTGTTTTGATAACACATCTATCTATATATGAAATATTAGACAAACATAGCGTTTCAGTAATACTGATATAATTTTTTTCATAATAATGATACAAAATAAAGTTTTCGGATGAATGTTGTATTAAGTTATGGTTATGCAAAGTTCCTGATTTGAGTCGATTAACAGTTGACCGATATTTGTGTGATAAAGAAAAATAACCTTTGCGTTTTAGATAAAACAAAGAAAGTAGCTTGTTGCTAACAATGGCATTTAATGTCACCGCTCTGCATAATCTATACCCGGAACAATGTTACTTATACATTTATCTGTCTTCTTTTTCTATTTTTGTTAAACAAAGGACACAAATTATCGTGCTTTTATAAGTTTTTTTTATTTCAATATAGATATAATATCTTTTTAACAACATACAAAATAACATCGGTATGTATACATAAACATTTCAGCCATAGATTCATTGTCTTAGCTTATAGAATCCTTATGCAAGATAACATGCCAGATATAGGATATCCGTTTTATGTTATAGGATCGGTATGTAAAGATAAGCACGTCCCTTATAGGATCGCTGTTTTATTTTACAGGATCGCTTCTCTCCACATTATCGCGTGCTGCTTGGCTTGTTGTTTCTTTGTACAACAACAGCGTACGAAGGAGACATTGGAAATGGACGTAAGTTACATTTAATATAAAAAACAGTATTACTAGTAACGATGATCAATTAAATTTTAGAAAAATAACTTTCTGTCTGTTTGTCTACCTGAGATTTTCCGTTGGATCATTTCGTCATTCTTACATATATTGAGTTGAAATTCTGTATGTAGCTTTTAAATTATATATACATACTTTCTCTCCGAGTGCGTTATCGTCGTGATTGGCGGCGTTATGGCTCTTTGAAATTAGTACACATTACAAATCAACTTAAATTTTCCCATTTCTTATTTTTATATGGTTTTGACGCTTTGAACTCAGGTCGTTTATAATTTTTCTTTATTGCCTCTTTTCGCTGTTACTTTTAGTCATGTTTCATACTTGTGTGTGTTTTGTTAATCTGTTTGTACCTTTTTTCCTTTTTATTTTTTTGTTTTTGTTTTTGTTTTGTTTTGTTTTTTTTTTTTTGTTGTTGTTTTTGTTTTTGTTTTTTTTTTTTTTTTTTGTTTGTTTGTTTGTGTTTTTTTTTGTGTGTGGTCAATGGTATTTTTTATGGTATTTTTATATAGTCATTTCAATATAGTTCCTTAGTCAAAATATTCCAGCAGAATAACTATAAGAAGTTATATACGTTCTATGTTCCAAACAACAACTGAGCTAGCACACTGATTTCGAAAGTATGGGAAAAGTATCAAACTTCATTCAGATTGAAACAATTGGTTAACAATTTGAACACTCATCGTTTTCATGAATTATGACATATACAGATTTTGATTTTACCAGCATGGAAATTAGCGTTGAAAGTCCCTACTGGAGTAACAGCTCCTGGTTATTCAAGTATAGAATCCCTTTGGGCATCGAGTAATACACTGAATGACAACGACATTGGAGCCATGAACGACTTCAGTGCGGGCGGCAATGCTAAGGTCTACAAGGGAGCTATTTCTAATGACTGGGGTACAAAAACAGCTGTCTCGCACGTACGTAGTATAAACATCAATATCTTTACAGTAATTACTATCAAGGAGTTGAATAAACAAGATCGCTCTCAGTAACTGATCTTTCTGGTATTTTATGATGTATGAAATTGTTGGTATTTTTATCAAACAATGTACATTGAGTTACGGCATGCTCACTCTGTATCTTGCTTATAGCCGACACGATGATATGCGTTAATAATGTCCATATGATATTTGATTTCATATCAACATTGTAAGCAAGATAAACAACTTTGTTTGTGTTGATCATTTTCTACTACACAAGAAACTAAAGCCATCTAGAGCATTTTGCATGGGTGTCGATGTAATATTGAATTCATTAAACGAGGTTCATAATTTGATATGTCACGACCTTTTAATTCCATATTGCATCGGCACGAGAGTTAGATTCTATTCATCATAATAACCCACATTTCTTAAAAATAAGCTTATAATAAATTTCCCTAGTAGACAATTTGGTTTTCACTACTGAGACAACTACGTGACTTATTTATGACGTCACAATAGTGTTATTACACATAAGTCTTACATTATTTATGACATAGCTGTATCACACCTTCTCAAATATATAATAAATAGACATATATTTTTAAGCCTATGAATGGAATTGAAGTAATGGCATTTTGACGATTTCATCTACGTCGTAACACAATGTAGGAAATATTCGAATCTTATGACAAAAGAGTGTTCTACAAGTGTCGTTAACTTAGATGATGCAGGAACTAAAAATATATTCAAATATTAAGTAACGACTACTTTTACTGCTTTTAATCCTTAATTATATAATCTACTAATAATTACAAATTAAGAATATCAACTTACATGTTTTACTACTTAAACATAATTCAAATACAATTGCATGGATGCATGAGTCTGTTTGTTAAACCGAACACATTACTGTCAAGACTACGAAGGTAAAAAATGTCACAGACTTCTTGTCACATAATGGTGACAACAAAGTGGTGAATTTATTTATCAAAAATTTAAGATATACATATAGCAGTTTTATAATTTGATATCAGGTAACCTGTTACAAAATCCTTTATTTAATTAAGGTCGCCAGAACAAGGATAAATTGAAAGTGTAAAGCACCTCGTTTCAAATATTACTTATCATAAGTGCAGCTTATAATTGATCTTATATATATTTACACACATTTAATCCCCGCTTACGTTATTTAACATACTTACATTACAGTGTAACAAAAAATAAACCATTTAGACTATTACATCTGCGATTATAATGGACAGGTACAATACAGGTATCAATATTTGTGCTTTATACAATCAGATTTAGATTTGTGAAATGAGGCTTACCCGTGTGTCCTTAATCCATTTTGCTTCAAATCAATACCTGTTCTATTGACCTCAAAACCTTTACATCTTTTATGTTCAGGTTAACACTCTACATAGATTAACTTATTAAGTGATAAATGCTCGTCCTTTGAAAAACTATGACGCTCTTTGTTCATTAAGCAAATTTGAACTGATCATAGGCAAACTTCTGTAACAAAGAATGTTAAGAAATATTAGTTGACTCAAATATCATAATGAAATTTCCTTTACTCACAAAAAAAAAAAAAAAAAAATACGAAAGCCTTTTACTAAATTTTATCGAATGACATCCTAAATAAGTGGCTCGTATCAGATTCAGTTCAATTTCTTCCCTCTGTTTTATTGTTTTATGTTTAATTGAATTTTAGTGTAAAGAAAGGTATATTTTGAAAATTTGCTTTCGTTTTCACAGGTGAAGATTTCAGCCTTCAAGGATGGTATTGAGAAAGCTTATGTAGTCTTTGACGCTTTTGGCAAAACAAAAACTACGTTCATGGACTGTGGCAAGATTGTTCACTCATCCTGGTCAGATCTAAAGGGCAACAGTTTCAACTACTGCAATATACCGTAAATATGGAAACCAATATATAAAAATGACACTAAAATGAATTCGCGATTTTTTACTTGCGATCGGGAAAACGTTGTAATACTAAATTAAATTATTCACAAAATTATAGCAACTTTTGAGAAAAAGGTACAAAGATAATCAGATTCAAACTAACACTGGTCGACACTCGCTAAAGTGTCTACCGCCATTCGCTGTTTTGATCAAAGTATAAATAATCACGTGACATTTCGGGGCCTCGTTTTAACCCGCCGTTTTGTTATAATTTCTAAATTTGCATGTTGCAGAAACATTTCTTACACGCGCTTTGAACGATAATATTATGTGTTGCTCCCATTTCACTTCATTTTTTGACGTTTTTAATTAAACAAAAAACTTTTAAATATTGTAATTAACAGAAAATTCACAACTTTAAACAGATATTTAAATGTTATAATGCTTTTTACCACCTATGAAATAAAAATCTAAGCATTTAGTCACTTTTATTATTTGTTTGGCAAAATAAAGGGATTGTACAATCGTAAACTACTTCAACCTTGCCTGTATGCAAAGACGCCGGTTCAAATCCAATACCCGTGAATTAGCTTAAACTGGAAAACTATGAAAAATTAGCCACGCGAAATTAAAACTGTACAGTATTTAGACAGATTTGTGTTATGACAATAACGATTATATATTCAATTTGCTTTGAATTTGATAAATTAGCATATTATAAAGTTGAAAGAAATCAAAGTTTATTGGCACTGGATGAATTTGGTGGCTACTGTTGATAAAAAACGTTGGTATCAATTTTTTTATTATGCGAGCTTTATTTTGTATTTTAAGTCTACCTGAAATTGAATTTAAATTGTTGATTATGCGATAAAACCTGCTTATCCCCGACTGCCCCCCACCACCACTACCACCAATTATCAGAATAAAAAAAAATTGTGCAGTAATTCACTTAATAATCATAACTTATTTCCCAATATTTTATTTTTTCAGAGGACATGACAGCATCGCCCGAACGTTTTTCATCAATAGAAGTTATGCTGGATGTAACAATGACTACGGTTGGTTCATTCTAAAAGACTACGACAAAACCGGTGGCTGTAGCAACTGGGATACCGCCAATGGAAACCCGAAAGTCATGTACTCCGCAGATTCCACGTACATCAACTGGGCTTTCGGTAGGTACAAATAATTGTTGGATTTTTTCCATAAAACAGTTAATTTGCATGATAATCGCTTGATGCATTTCTAACGCACTCCCCTTTTATCCACACGTCCGGGGTTCGATTCTCCGAACATATATGAAAAGGTTTGGGATCACCTTTCCGACAACTTGGGTTTCCCAAGTACTCTAGTTTCTTCGCGCAAACCGAATTCTCGCAAACTACCATCCAAGCTAACAAGGATGATTAATATAAGTTGAAATGACTTTTTTCGTAAAGTAAGTAAAGTTTATCTTTGTATTGTAGGAAACAGACAGACAGGAGATTCCTTTGCTATTTTCGTTCTTGGTGAGTAGTTTTGAACACTTGAAGCATTGAGGTGCTCGCATTTTTGCATTCTTAGAAAATAAAGAGATTAATGTATTCCAATTTGACCTTAATATCTGGTCCTTTCTTGATAAACTAAGTAGGCAACGTGTCGACATGCGTCGACAATTGGAAACCTGAGGGGATATCTGTGTCGATAACTTTATTTTCAGTATTGGACCAACTCATGTCTTCGCTTAATTCATTCTTCTAGGAAGATGTTCGAATTTCTCTAAACGCATGTCTGATTTATTAAGCAGAAGACACTTACTCTTCAAAAACCACGTGGTCCTTTTAAAATGAACTATTCCATCTAACATGTGTGACATGAAACAAAATGATAACCAGCGATACTTGTAATCACAGAATGGAAGATGGTATTCAAGGGCGTTGATGGAGTTGAACCCGCAGCTGGGTCATTGTTAAGTCTGTGGTCTGGCTCTACCACCGAGCACGGAAATGATGTCAGTGCCATCACTGTAACCAAGGCTCCAAGTAAAACCTACAAATCTGCCGTGGTGGAGAAATGGTCTGAACAACTTGTTGACCAAGTATGTATTGCATACGAATTTTGAAAAAAAAAGAAATGAAAATTAAAAATAATGTAGAACACAAAAGAAAGATATAAAATAATCGTAATGTATCCTTCCATTTTTCTTCCTGAAATCGTTCGTTTTACATGACTGAATATTTTTGATATAATTAAGCAATCAATTTTCTGTCTGTTATATTTTCTAGGTACGTTACTCCTACTTCACAAGTGGGACTGAGGTAGCCTATACCGTATTTAACGGTCGTGGATCAGACAAGAAATCGTGGTTTTCAAATGACAACATCATCTACTCCAAATACACCGACATTAAAAGCAAGACCAAGGTCGCTTGTTCCATTGACGGGTAAATCATTATTTACATTCACATTATTAGAGATATCAACTTCTTGTTTTTGTTTACTTATTTATTATTTCTCTTTTTATTTGATACAGTGACAGTACTCGTAAATTCACCATTCATCACCGATACGACGGCTGCCCTAATGATGAAATTTGGATGCAAATTTTGGATGATCGTGGTGGCCCCGCCCCCTGCTCGTGGGATAAGAACGTCAGAACGCGACCTTATTTCCTCTACAGCGCGGGAACTACAGTCGTCAGAGCTGAATCAGGTGGAAAGCATAAAATGAAAAAAAAACTGTTCATGTCAATCAAGAGACATTGGTTGTTTGAAAGTCCAGAAACTATATAAAGTCTATTCTTTTACAGTGTCATCTGATAAGTTTCCTTATTTTAAATGTTCTTCCTTCGTTAGTTGTTGCTCAGATGATAAAGTCAGATTTTTACGTTTCGTTTACATTCAGGTTTAAAGAATTCTCATGTACAAAATTTTCTAGATATTACACAATCATTTATTGGTTTAAACTCACCTGATCATTAAAAGATCATTCAATGTAAATGGGGAAAGAAAAAACATCACAGTATCAGCAACATACTTTGAATCATTTAAAGACAATACAAAAAGTGTTTGTAAATATTTAAAGATGATTTTTGATGAAATATAATCACATTAAACAAGATGTCTTTTTGCCACAGGAGGACAATGGAACAGTGGTGGTTACCCAGCAGCTGAAACCTTGGGTATCTTCATCACAGGTAACGTTAACATAAACTTATCTGCCATAGAATGCATTTCATATATTAACTTATTTCATACAAGAATCTTTTGATTTAATTTAATCTTAATTTTATTTTTTTATTGTTTATCGGCAGGGAACGGATTTCCTTGTACGTTGTTTTGTTTATTTACAAACTTTTGTCTATTTATGAAATTATGATGCGGAGATTTGACTCGAGATATTATCTTTGCAATACCATTACTGATAGGTGTTAGTTGATTTATTTACTTTAATCTCTTCTGTATATATGTATTTCCGATCGTGTCAACTGAATGCGAAAACATTAGGCACAGAAGTGCCAATTTTACTGTAAAACATCGTCACTTATTGGTCCAAAAATGTACATATTTTCTGCTTTGAAGTATGATCATCATTTTGTTTACAAAATTAAATCTAATATCGAGATAGTTTGTAGATGTAACTGTATGTCTTTTATGATATATAAAATGACACTTATTGGATTATTTCAGGCTGGACACCAGTGATGAAGTTGGCACACGGTCAAGGTGTGGGAGGAGCCGTCGATGTCCGAGACTTATGGAAAGGCACTTACACAGTGAACGAGGGAGATGCAAACGCTATGTCGATAGCAGCTGGAACAAAGGCGTACAAGTCTTCCATCGTAGACAAATGGTCTGATTACTACATCAGTGCAGTACGTCAGATTAATATCATTATATATTACAACATTATATATTTGAATTAAAACATGTAAATATAAAGGAATATTGTCAGACTAGTAAATCCTCAAACATTATAAAAATGTCAATATATTGTTACAATTTCATCAGATGACAGCTTGGTAATATGTTACAATACAGTAAGGTTGCCAACTTTCACGGACCGCGAAAAATGATTTACAGTATGCAGTATATAGGACAACACTAATAATGGAATTCTGTCCTCCAGGTTCGAATATCCTTTATAACCGGTGGTAAAGAGAAAGCTTTCGCTGTATTTGATGCTCATGGTGCCGACAAAAACAGCTGGTTCACAAAAGCCAGGGTTCTGTATTCGTCTTGGAATGATCTTGGTCCAACCTCGACAACGAACTATGATTCTATTGATGGGTAGGTGTCATCTGGAAACAACCCATGGTGTAAAGCACATTCATTAATTCCCTGCTTGCACATGAAGAGGTAACAGGATTTAATAGATTGTATCTATTGTAACATTCAGCTTATTGTGGTGCATATTACTGCAATTCAGCAATCTTTGGGCTCGTCACCGTAAGACGACATTTTCAGAAAAAAATATTGAGAGCAAAAATATGCCACTATAGTTTTGGTTACATACTATGCAGCACTTTAAAATAACCGATTAATGAAATATTCATTATCAAGTATAATATTACCAGCATCGATCCAACGACTGTTTTCGTAGAGTTCAATACAAAAGATATTAATATCAATAGTTGATACACAACGAATTAGTGTTATGGCCCCAGATTGTGCATTGCCACAAAAAGCGGATGCAACATTGTAGGACATGTATCTAAATACAAGAGCACACATATATAACATAAATTCACTGGACTTTTTGACATTTTTGTAATTTTGTTTTGTTTCAAAAAGACATCAGCCACACGGACGAAACTTTTACATGAACCGAAACTATGGTGGCTGTCAAAATGACGCAGGCTGGTTTATAGTGTCCGAAGCACAAAGTTACGGATGCAGCTGGGAAAAAAAGACCAGTGTCAAACCGTATTACTTGTATAGCGATGCTTCAGGATACGAGAAATCTGATAGTGAGTATTGTTGTTGCTTTGTGTTTATCTTTCCAACGTTGGTTCGGTTTACTTATTCTTGATAAGATATCCTCGATTATTTTCTTTTCGTGGAATGAATTGTTTTCAAAACATTTAAATCAGTTTTTGTATATTTCAAATTTTATGTCGTGAATTAATCCATGAAATTGGTATATAAATAAAATAGGGCTTTTACAAAATCGAACGATAATTTTTGAAAACTTTCTCAGTGTCATTTACTCTGTTTCAGATCAAGCTATCGCTGAGGTGTTTGTCATCTCCGTTTGTGAGTATCTAAAATAATGACGTTAAAAATAAACATTAATGACGCATCTTGTTCCAATCGATAATGTCAAAATAAGTTAATATTTTTGTTTGCTTAATAATTCATAAATAAGAGCTTTCATATTATAAATTGATATTTTTTCCAATTACATAGAATCAACATCTATTAGATACATGTATAGAACAATTAAAACTGTATCAATTATTCATAGGTTCAAAAAAAAGAAATTTGTTTCTTTCATTATTTTAATGAATTTTGATTGTATCCCTATTTAAGCGATGGACATGTGTAACCCAAATCGTTGTGGAAATGGCGCTACATGTATTGATCTTGGAGCTACATATGAGTGCGCATGTAGCGGAAACTACTTCGGAACACACTGTGAAAACTGTAAGTCCTTCTATTCATATATATCCCGATTCTTTTGCGGTTGTAAGTTAAACTTATTAATTCAAATTTGAATTTTTTTTCTTTAAGGAAGTTGAAACGAAATAACTCAAGCGTTTTAAAAAGCACAATCATGGCGTGAAACCAGGATAACTACCCTAACTTAAGAATGGTCGGGCTGTAAAGAGATGCAAATACTGATTCTTTTTAGATCTATCTTAATATTTTTGCATATTTTGTATGACACTCGATTATTTGAAATGTTTCAATTAATTTTCACTGTTATCCAACAGTAAATGGCGGATTTTCAAGCTGGAGTTCATATGGAGCGTGTACGAGAACATGCGGAGCTGGAACTAAGACCAGAACGAGGACATGTAACAATCCAGCACCGGTCGGAAGTGGAGCTGCCTGTTCCGGAAGTACAACTGAAACCACTTCCTGTACCATTGCGTCATGCGCAAGTAAGTTTCTAGAGAAATATATTATCTCATGGCATGGTTCTGATATAACAATACTCAATTTCTTTATAAAGCTGTGTTAAATCGGATACAAATTTGATATTATATACAGCATAGCCAAATAACGACTGCATCATTCAGCTGTTTCGTCCTTCTCAGACTCGTAATGGATGCTAAGGTCCTCATTTTTGAACCCTTGGATGCGACTGAGGGCAACACAATTTGATCGAACGAAATACCATAATCTAAATGCGACGTAACATTTTCTATCAATGAAATTTGTCAATGATGGCTAGAAAAATAATTCTAAAAATGCTTAAAAGACTCTTAATGACAAAATTGTAATTTCTACAGAAATAGCCAAATCTATCTTCATAAGCTGGTTTAATTCTTGCAGTTAATGGTGGTTGGTCGTCCTGGAGCGGATGGGGATCTTGTTCTTTAACTTGCGGCAGTGGAACGCAACAGAAAACCAGAACATGTACTAATCCTTCCCCACAACATGGCGGCGCCGACTGTGCCAACAACCCGTCTACCGCTACAGCTACTCAGTCATGTAACACGCACAACTGTCCAAGTGAGTACTTATTCTGACAGTAGGCATCCTTCTTTTTCGGCGATTCCTTATCCCCGTGGCTTATTACATTCTTATCTGAAATTCTGACAATGTCAATGATACGGTGTCTGATTTGTGAAACACAAAAGGGACATGATCAAAGTAAAACGTTTAAATTTCAATATCTGTTTTAGTGAATGTGATGTCTCATTCACGAAGCAAAGAACGAGTTATGATGATTCAATATTAAAGTCAAAGAATTTCGCCATTATCTTGTAAAGAATTAATATTTGTAGTTAACTTTTGAAAATGAAATATAAATCTAAATGTGAAAAAAGGAAAGATCAACTATTTTTTACTGGCTGTAAATTTTCGTTTAAGAATCCTATTTTTATTGGCATTCCATAATCCTGAAAAGTACAGACATTTAATAATTTAACATTTCATATCATTGATCAACATGTACATTGTATAATAGTATCAAACTTTTAAGACATATCTACAAAGGCAATGACTGGTGCAGTGTTTCACGTTATTCACTGCATAACAAAATGCATGACTGATATCACAAAACATGGTTGTATATCGTGACCTTGGCAGTATGTCACAACTGAACTTCTGATTAAGATAATAGCAGTATGGGTAAATAACAAATGTTCAATTAATACAGTATCCAAAAGGCGGCTTCAACGATTGTCGTACGATGCAAAATAGTTGTTGTGTTAAGAAGGTTATTATATATTATATCATAGCGATCACACTTTACACCGAAGCATTTTGCGTTATGAATGCTGGATCTGCGTACATCTTAGTCAACTTGTAATCAAGTATTATCTTGCAGTCGATGGCGGTTGGTCTTCCTGGAGCGGGTGGGCATCCTGTTCTCTAACGTGTGGTGGTGGAACCCAGCAAAAGACTAGAAGCTGTACGAATCCCTCCCGTCAATATGGCGGTGCTGACTGCCCTAACAATCCGTCGTCTGCAACAGCGACTCAGTCCTGCAACACACATAATTGTCCAAGTAAGCTTTACTCCGAACAGAGAACAGATCACTGGCTCGTCTGTGTTTATTGCTTGACTTTTTTCCCGAAATAGTCACTGAAATATGATTTTTTATCAGCTTACCATTTCGAATATACATGTCATGTAATTTACCGAATGTATACCTCTACAAGATTTCACAGCTGTAAAGATAGACGTGTTTGGTGCTCGTAAGTGTGCCTCTTGGTTCCGTTATTGTATACCTTGTTCTCTTTTGAGAGAGTGACATTGCTTGCTTGGATTGGGCAAGATTTGCAAGACGGGTGCCCTCGGTGGGGCGGGGCACGCTTGCTATTCCAGGGCATCTGGTCTTGGTCTTGTAATTTAAAGTGATGTTGTAAGTTCAAGGTTAAGATATTTGTTTCTGAGGTTGCTAAAACCATGCATTGATTGAATTCAATAGATTATGATCGGTGTGTTACTATATGAATGAATATGTTCTTTTCTTTTAGTTTTATTGAACATATCTACTATTTCACTGTCGTTTTCTTACACGTCATTCCGTCGCTTGTCTTAGAGCTATCATAAACATCAAGTCAAGCTTATTGTACCAGATTCATTTTTGCGATTTCTAAAATGCAAAATGACATTCTTTGTATTGTATGTGCATATATTTCGCCTAAGCCTGGTCATTTTTCTAAATAAAAAAGGGAATCATGAAGAAGATAAACGGTTTCCTCTCGACGGAATATTTCTGAGATAATAACGATTGGTTCCTTTTGCTTAAACAAATTTTAGTGTTAAAACAAATTTCATTGTAGTCGATGGCGGTTGGTCCTCTTGGAGTTCATGGGGAACCTGTACTACAACGTGTGGTGGAGGAACACAAGAGAAAACCAGGTCATGTACCAATCCTGCTCGACAATATGGCGGTGCTGACTGTGCCTTCAATCCGTCTACAGCCACAGCCAGTCAGACGTGTAACACACATCATTGTCCAAGTAAGTACCCCTTGTATACTGCAAAAGATTAGACACAGATTTTGTGTTTGGCCCATTGTACTTGCACACTTCATAAACATGGTAAATAACACCAGATATGTTTACATAAAGGTGTCCTCCAACGAGGAATGCTTTAATGCTGAAGATTTCCAATATATAATAGTCTGTGGTCAAATCTATGATTATCCATACTAACTGACATGCGTTTGAATAGTAAAATGTATCATAACTGAAACAAATGAATTCTGAATTCTGTGTCATATTTTTACATGAGATAAATATGTATATTTTGAATGTGTATTCCTAACCCTTTTACATGTGATGTCTGGGGGCAAGTCTTGTGACTAAGCGCCATACCAACAGAGTTTGCCATTTATCTACATAAAATGTTTTGTCATATCCAGGCTAACACTATTCAATATGGAATCATAAATACATAGTTTATACAGTAGGTCTAACTGGCTCAGTTCTTTTTATTGTATTCGCTCTCACCATATTTGTTTTTACATATAACGTCCTAGTCGTCAAGTACTTATTAAATTAATTTACCATTGATGTGGGTCTATAACCAGTTGACGGAGGATGGACTGCATGGAATAGCTGGAGCACATGTACAGTGACTTGTGGTGGTGGTTCCCAAGAGAGATCTCGTACTTGTACAAACCCGACCAAACAGTATGGAGGAGCTGACTGTCCAAATCTTAACACCGGAGCTATGTCCACACAAGCATGCGGGACAATCAGCTGTCCAAGTACGTAATGTCATTTTAATCAAACGCGATAGATAAAGAAATCCACGAATACAGAAATGTTTTTTGATGTTTTATTTTAATTGAATTGTTATCTATTTTATTGTTTGTACATCTTATATTGTGTTATATTTCACATATAAAAATAGCACGAAGCTTGCTGGATATAACAATTTCATAACTCAGGTTAGGGGGCAAACATCCTATTTGCACCACCTCAGTGTGATATTTGCCTGAATATTTTTATATCGACCATTTATCTTTGTATCTGTATTTCAGAATATTGTCGTTTCAAAGTTGACGTTCTTACATTTTTGAAAATTTTACAATAAGTTAACTAAATCTTATTTCAGTTGACGGAGGATGGGGTAGCTGGATGGCTTGGGCATCTTGTTCCGTGTCCTGTGGAGGTGGTGTTCGAAGCCGGGGCCGGCTCTGTGATAACCCCTACCCACAACACAACGGAGCCCAGTGTCCTGGAGTGGACACCGTTAGCGAAACATGTAACACACAAGTCTGCATAAGTAAGTTTAATTTTTTTTAATTAACAAGCTTTTATCATAGCGTGTTTAGATAAAAGTGGATTTTTAAAATCAGAACATTAAATAATCTCTCCACCACCCTTAAAATGCATAGACTTTTATGATTCGAAGCAGTAATTATCAGAAATAGTGACAAACCTTTTTATAATCTTGCTTACAGTTGACGGTGCATGGGGTTCATGGTCAGCCTACGGAACTTGTACCAAAACCTGTGGAACTGGTGTCTATTCGAGGTCAAGAATATGTGACAGCCCTCTTCCAGCCAATGGTGGAAATCCCTGCAGTGGACCGTCTAGCGAGTTTTCCGACTGTAATACGAATGCGTGTCCTGTAGCCCAGGCTGGAGTATACCAACAGGTATAAAGATCAGTCAACAGAAAATATATCCTGTAAACCAGGAATTACCATGTGTCAAGAGAGCTATAATTTTAAATTATTTCCTTTGGTATTTTATAAGTCAAAATTACTATTTCTTTTTTGTTGGATTTATCACGTCTTCATGACAATTACCTAACTGTACCTGTTTTAAAATCCATTATTTAAAGTTGTCTGTTCAGCTGATTAAATTATTGTTCATTTCATATTACTGTGATCTATGTTGGTTAAGTGTTCAACTTTATCTCCTGTTGTGTTTCCAGTTTTGTCCATCGAACTGGTTCACGTGTGAATCTGGGGCTATGACCTGTATCATGTTAAGTATGAAGTGTGATTGTTCGAATGACTGCGACGACGGAAGTGACGAAACTGTAGGGTATGCCGGATGTGACGAAGAACTGATGGCCATGTGCGAGTCTGGTGCAGGTAAGAAAACTGCAGTTAATCTTGATTTGTCAATTGTAACATATTTTATATATATACTTCGTCAAATTACATGATTATTAGTCTTGCTGGATGACTACAGTCAATTGTGTACAACTAAACAGTTGTAATTTTAAATGTTACATACGAATCAATTCAATTATATAAAAGATAAAGATACATAAGTAAGGATGTAATGTTAAAGTGTTCATTTATTAATTGTTTATCTCCGTTTTTATTTATTTGTTGTTAATTTCATTTTTTTAGAACACGTCCTTGTCTCAATCACGTTGATAATAATGTGTCTGGTAGCTGTTTTGTATAAGAACCTGTAAACAACAGAATACAACGACCACGTGATTCCAGGGGACAAACTGTTGAGGAATCGGAAGCATGGCGTTCGAGTTTTTTTTTTTCATATTTGTGTTATGTGAAAAGTCTTTCACTCTCTTGAAACGAAAAAAAAATCTTACTGGAATTTTTCTACATCACATAAATGACATCAACAGAATTTACTATAATCAATGTTAGATTTAATCGCATCAATTATACCTTTCTATGCCTTTTTCATGGTAATTTGTCTCAATAAACGCTTTCTATGAATTTTTTACAATTGTATATCTATATGTTTTACTTGTTAAACTAAAAAATAATCAAATTTGTAGTTGTCATCGGATATGTTCCTTCCCTATCCAAGGTCTGTAAACATCTTCATAATAAACGTCCATGTGTTTTGTGTGAAGTAGTTTTCTTTCTTTTTGTAAATCACAAGGTACAAGTTACAACATGTTTCCTATTGTACGAAAATACTACTTTGGTGTTGACTAAGGGAAATATCGTTTCATTGTACAAACTGGACCTATATATATGATAATGCAAACTCTCGATATAGAAAATACTACAATGACTCAATGAATGTTCCTATATTACAACAAAATATATAATTACGTATTACGGTTCTATGGCTACACCTACATCAGATAAATTACCAATGTGAAGCGTATTAGCAATGAGTAAAGCACTTTCACTGGTTTATCTTGTTATATACAGAAATTTTCATTGTATAATTTTCATACTAATTAGATATTTATAGGGATGCTAATATTCATTATAAAACAGTATTTTTCGGGATTTTTAAAAAAAATTTCAGGTGTAATGCTGTAACTATAAAATTCAGTGGTCACTTTATTTAAGCGCTTTTACCGCTGAAAGAATTGTGCTAAAATATGATAAAGCTAATTGAACTTCTAGGATATTGTCTTTTTATAGCAATCATTACCGATCCGCGAATTTATCATTGCACTTATCAGTCAAAAATTATTTATCCTCTCAAATTTTATTGTGCAAGATTAATTTCGTTTATAGTAGGCTACCAAACAAAGTCATTTAATTATGTTACACTCATATTTTAAAGGCATTTTAATCCGATATGAAATATTAATCGTAATCTCTTATTAACCTTAATTAGGTCATGTTGTTTAAGTCGCCACATTTAATGTATTTAATGTTCTATAATACGTATGGGACGGATACCAAAAGTTCAAACCTTCCATCAATATCATTTGATAATATATATCACGAGAATGTTTAATATTGTATCTCTTTTCATGTACTGTTACTTCCATACACAGTCGATAGGGAAAGACATTTATAGAACCGGAAGTGCTGTATCGTTTCACTTAATATCATACAGAAATTGATAATAAATTCAGAAGAAATACACTAATAAGTGTAAGTGAACTTAGTTAGAAGCTAAATGGGTTACAGTATTAAGGTCTTAATTCTTGTTTTATAACTGATAATATTTTTTGAGAAACTATTGACCTAGTTTGCAGGTGATTTAGAGCTTAATACACTGTAGAAAATAATCAATACAAATGTGTTCGATTGATATAATGCCTATGCACTTCTATACTATTACACACTACACTGACGTTTCATTTAAATCTTTATAAGAAAAAACTGAATATACTGTCATAAATGCACTTCTTGCAAGCACTCGGGATTAAAAAAAGTCTAACAGAATAGTTTGACGTCTTCAGGATGAAGCAGATGAATGAGGATCTCATGCATCCAGACCGAGGCTTTAGCGAAGAGATGGCTATTAAATAATCTGCATCGAGAATGGAAAGTTTCTATCTCACCCTCAATGCGGTTATTGTCGTCTTTCATCTTTTCATATGAAATGCGTTCATGTATTATTTTACGTCATCAGCTTAAAATTGTGAATGAAAATTCTGCAGACATGTCACTTTTATATTATTATTTTATATATTGGTTTTTAATATTAAATGTAAATTCTAAAATCTAAAATGAATGAATGCGGATGTTATTACTAGGAATTAATATTCCCCATCTTCATCAACCTTCATCTAACAAAGCCTTGTATTGAATATCGAATCAACTGTGACGTTTAAACAACATAGAACTTAGGGAAGAAAGGTTTTTGCTTACTTAGTATAAGACATGCTTAAAATATGTTTTCTCTTACTGTTTCCCATTGGATTTCGGATTTTCTCTTGATAATTTTGTATTTTCTCAGTCGCCTACCAGGCTTCAAACTTAAAGGCCTGACATAAATATGACACATTTTAAGAAATATGAAAGTTTCAGTTATGTCCAAGAACATACAGTGTAGCTAGTCCAAACTAGATGTGATCAAGAAAAGTTTGTGATTCGCTCCAAGAATACAAGTATTGATTTTTATTGTTGAAATATTCACAATGAAGGTATCAATGCAGTAAGGGTAGACTCCAGATTAAATTGTTTGGCACATCATCGTCAACGACAGAAAGTGAAGATAGCGTATGCCAGTACCAGTTCATAGGCAGAGATCCAGGAGGAAGTAAAATTAACGAACTACCTATCCTTTCGATACGGTCTATTCATATGTTACAAGAGATATCAACAGAAATCTCTGTAAATTACTTTTAATAAACTATAATAAATTTGTTTCGCTGTAAATGTTAAACTGAATGTCTGTTCCATGATTTATATTCATATATATCTTTAATTTTTTTATTCATTTTTGTCAATTTACAATTTCGACATTCGACATTCTATTACCTCCCTTCCCATGTATTGGCTGCTTGCTAAGGTCTGTTATCTTCTTTCTTTTTTTAAGTATTATTGTTACAAGCAAACCGGTGCTGAGTAATGATATGTTATTGAATCTATGATGTCTAACTTAGCAGTGTTAATCACAGACTTAGAAAAAAACACCTAGTTATTACCTTTCTGTTGATTTTTTTGCCTATGTTTGTATATGTAAAATAACATTACTTTTTTGTAACTTATTGATTGAAAATGTATGCACATTTATTGTTCTATATCTCTTACCATGCCTATTTCGAACTCCATGTAAATTCCTAGACTGGCTTTTTTCAGAATTCAGGAAGGCAGCATATTTGCATACTTACGCTGTTTATTTTAGTATCAAGAAGTATCTTGCATCATAAATATAGAAATGGTCCATTTTAATCGACGATGAATAGAATATTCTAGTAATATTGGTTTAGATCGTCATCATCACCATCATCAGTAATGTGATAGTATCCAATACAAAGTTTAATGACAATAACATTTGTTAAAGGGAGATAACACCAGACTGAATGGAATTTAAAGAGCATGTTTTGCAACAAGTATACCTTTACAATGTCCCTGTGTGCTATTGTTTATTAAAACGGAAAGATAAAAACGAATAAGCATAGTGATGAATAACTAATCTTACCATCAAGCTGTGTGCTGTTTTAGATCATTGCAGTATTGTATAAAAATTCACTGCAAAAAAAATCAAGAAAATTCCAACATGGCAAAATAATCATAATTCAAACTCAATTTCCATAAAACTAGGGCAAAACTTGAACAAAAGAAAGACTAGCACTGAGTCTCCTGAAAAATTATAAGATCAGGTGTTCCAGAAAAGTAAGCGTCTTCTGCTTCATCGACGACACCAGTCATGTCAACCTTGGTCAATCCAAGTAAGTCACGTTCTCAAATGAGTACAAGGTATCAAACAACGGAACCAACAAGCAAACTAGCGAGCATCAAACACGTCCAGCTTTATATCACACAACGGAACCAACAGGCAAACTAGCGAGCATCAAATATGTCCAGCTTTATATCACACAAAATATATAATATTTCTCGATGAGTTAGAAGTTGCGTCTTTTCTTTATATTATCTCCTGAATGTTATAGATATGATAGGAGTTATGATATAATCTTGTTTACAATGACGACACTGAACTATGTGCCACACTCTGTGGCTATCTAGATTAACAGATACTCTTCCTCTGGATCAATGAAAACAAATATCCTCGGTAGTAAAATCAAAATCACTCTTAAATAAAAACAACTAGGTAAAAGTATAGAATCTTTAATATGTACAAACTGAAATACAACAAAAGCTTGCAATGTTGAAAAAGTTTTCACGAAAAAATTACAGTTATCACAGTCAATTTGTTAATACTCCAAGCATTCTTATACCCGTAAGTAATTCTACTAGAAGCATTCTTAGGTGACGTTTCTGCCTCTTTGCCAACGTCAATTTAATATTGCTGACTTACTCATTTGTATATGCACGTGACAATGTATGCACATCCAATATTGCTTATCAATACTGTTTGTATTAAGTACTGTGAAATTAACATAAATGTTTGTCTCTGCAATATCATAGAGTTGTCTCGATATATATATATCCAATTGTCATATTGATAATTTGAAATATAGTCTAATGCTTTTTCCGGGCTGTACAATACCATATTATATAAAATGTCTTATGTCAGATACAAGAGATCGAATTGGTGTTTTGATAAACAATTAATACAGGAAGTGGACAATCATAAACAATGGTGTATTACTAGAGGTTTAAAGGACTTTTAACCTGGCAATTCAATCAAATTGCTTTTTGCCTTTATGTTTTTTATTATACACCACAAATAGTTTGGAACAATTACAATTTACGTAATAACATTGAAATCAAAAGTATATACAACTTGCACAGTTATAAAAAACATGAAACATACTGAACTCACACATGACATAGTCATATTTCAATAAATTATTATACTTATATTTTGTAAACCCTAGAAACGAAGATATATTGATCGAAAATTTGAACTTCAATAAACTATTTTCAAACAATCGCACGATTTCAAGGTTCAAACTTTTATCATTTATATAATGAAATAGTTGAATGAGGTAATTCAATTCATTGATTATAACATTTCTAACTGTTAATTCGTATTTAAAAGTGCTATCCATTGGTGTGTCTTTTGTACAATCTCTAAAATATCTGTCAGCAAACTATATTTTGGCCAACTCATAAAGAAAACAATCTCCACTTTGATAGTTGTGAAGATATTTTTACGGTCCTTGGTTATCAGTCAGAATGACTTAAATATTTCGTTCATTATATCGACGGGGCATTTCATTAGTGTTAGTAGTTTGATTGGTAAACAACAGTTCACAAGAAGATGGGATGTTCTGCTTTTCATCCATATAAAAATATGGATGTTCATATGTGTACTAGTTTGTGTGCACTACTCCACACTCCGTAACCTCAACCTCTAAGATAATGCTGAAAACGTCATCAACTTTCGAAAGACTCCTGTACATAAATTGTCTCGTAAGCACGTGAAACAGAATTTTCTTCATGCGCAAAGGTAGTTTAATAAATTTTCCCGTCTTGCAATAAAAAATGTTAATCACAAGACGTTTCATATAAGAATTCCGAAGACTTCATGCTTTCACACATGGGTTTTAAGGGTTCAAACTGTTTTCTTTCCGTTTGTCATGTCTTACTAGTTGGTCTCTTGTTCCTGTGGTGGCAAGACAGGTGCTGGAGGTTCATCTGTACTTTGTTGTTCAGCTGGTGCTTGCATGATCTTCCGTTGAAAATATATATAGTGAACCCAACCGAATTCTGGGGTCATACTTAGCGATTGCTTGAAAATTGTTGCAGGTGTTTGGAGAATTCGAACCAAATCCCAGCCATTTTGACCTTCTTGCGCTATCACACTGTCCCAATTAGCGTTCACTTCAATAGTGGTTTTACCAATTCCAGCCATCTTCATTTTTCCTGGGGCTCTGTACTCCACCATTTTTGCTTCATATACTGGTGTGTTGTCGTTTGCCTTTGACAAGGGCTTCTCAAATATGAACATTGCCCCAACTTCAGATGTGATCTTAGACGCCATGAACGCTCTGTCAGAGAAACTTTTGTTGTTCTGGTCTAGGAAAACTTCCACTAGTTTCCAGCCTTGTGAAAGATATGGTCCTACGATATTCATCCAGTCAAAGGTGACGGTCCAGGAACCTCCAATGGCCCCTGTAAGGGTTTTCAGAACAGCTGACATCTGCGCAGGCACAATCTGATACATGTACTTCTCTCCACCTTGTGTTGTTGGCATCTCGTAGAATATGTCAACACACAGAACTGGAAAACATAAACCCACCTTGTCAATAATGTTCATTACAATCAAACTAGCTGGCATATTAAATACTGAACACAGTTTTCTTTAGATCGCACAAGGAAATAGAATATTTTTCACTGAAATCTTGCAGGCGCCCATTAAACGCCTTTATAGTCTATATCAACTGTATTGAAGCATGACCATGAATGTCACCGATTTCTTTCGTTTCTTCACATGTATTTGCACAGTATTTTGTAAAAAAGATTATATATGCATATCATTTCCCATCTTTCGTTTTAATTTTCCAGAATATTTTCTCTTTATTTCACTTATGTCTGGGTTGTGCATGCTTGTTTGTCTATAACGTGTGTCAGAAGTTCCCTTTAAATACTCACGTGTGCTTGGACTGTGGCCGTAAAGCATCATACTGGGTTGAGTGCCCATTCCCATGGTAGCAGAAACAGGTGCGGCAGACGCTCCCGTAAAGGACCCTCCTGTAACCTCTATAGAAACGAGACGTCCTCCTTCGTTTGATATTCTGTCTATTGTCTGGAAAATATGGATGGGTTGAGTGGATGATGTGCCTCCAATTTTCAAAAGTCCGGTTCCAAAAACTTGTTGCGGAAGACTGGACTTTTCCATACACAACTTCCATTTTCCTTTTTCCTCTTCAGTAACTTGATGAAATATTCCTTGCGTTCTAAGTTTAGATTCTAATTTCAAGGACACAAATCCTGAAGCTGTCATACTTCCAGGAGAGACGTTGAAGGTTGACATTCGGAACCCAAGGTCGTACATATTTGTTAGGGCTGGAAGGTACACACTTCCTGTAAGCGTATTGAACGCCATCTCAGGTGAGAACAGCAAGCCCGTTTGGGACTCGTGTGGCACATCGATGTTGACGATATTGTAAGTGACCGGGGGGCCTGCATACTTTGGTTCTTGTTGTACTGCCGCTGCAGCTCCTCCTGCAGGACGCGGGGCCGCTGCACTGCTGCTCTGTCCACAGCCCATATCTAGGCCTAAACAGAAATTAGTGAGAACATCAAAATACTGGAATCAGTATATTTTTTTAAAATTAAGAACGGGTAGATATGAATATTTAAATCAATAAATCAAAATATTTCATAATGCAATGTTTTGAAGTAAATTACTGAAATTAACCAATGTTTGAAGATCTTATGAATCAAATGTCATTTTGACCGTAATAGCAAACTAAATCTGTGGAATACAAGATTCTGTTGAGGTTATTTTCGTATTGGTTGATACTTATACGGAGCTGGCAGATAATTTATCATGCGAGATATAATTTTGGTAAAAAACACATGTTATACTGACAACTCTGTTGTAAAACATGAATCGGATGTATTTGTACTGTTATTAATAACGATATTTAAGTAAAAAGAGACCCAGTTTACTGAAATTGTGAAGTCTTTCTGGAATTGACTCAAATTCAACACGTAACTTGAGAACATCCAACAATATCATTACAATCACTAAATATTCTGGTCATTGATTTGATAATAATTAATTTTGATGGAAAACAGGTACAATGATTTATTAACATCACTATTAGGGAGTTAAACAGGTAAACCGCACCTTTCAATATGATTTTAGAATTACATACAGCTGTTTCGCACTTCTAGGAGTCGTCAGTGATACTAAGGGCCTAAGTTTTGAAGACGAAGAGGCGACTGAAGAAAATTGAAGTGATCGAAAGTTATAGACTAGACAGGGAAGTACAGCAGCCCCATAATTTTACAGAAAATCTTTAATTGAAACGTGTCCTGCCGAATACAGAAAACCAAAGGAACTGAAAGTCCAGAGCAATGTCTACCACCTTCTATAACAAAGATCTATGACACAAGTAAATAGCACCTTTTAAAACGATTTTTTTTTCTCTTTGTTTCTTTCTTTTTTTTTCACCATGGCCTGTATGAATATTTTAATATTTCTATTGAAAACGCATGACTGCATATTTTGTAGTGTGACAATAGGAAGACGGTAATTTCAAAACCCATTACCCGATATACACATGAACCCACACAAATAACAGCAATCATATTCATTAAGTTCCATAATTTCAACATCGCTATATGTCCGATTTTATTCGTAAATTTTACATGTAGATTTTATCCGATGATCCTTCATTCACAATGAATTAACGACAACAAGGAAGTGAGGAATATTCAATTATGTTTCTGTTTGAATTGAATTTATAAAATGTCCTTTACACTTTACCGTTACGGTTTTCATAGCAGTACCTTGTCATTTGGCCCCGCTGTATATTAACGAAATTTAAGTCTTTATAACTATTACAAATGAAATTGAAAAATATAACTTCCCTCTCCAGGCCAAGAATTCGAAATGTATCGCATCAAATATTCCTATCAGGAAATATATTTCGATGTACATAGAGAGAGGTTTTGAAAACGCTTAAAAAACCAACTCTACATTATTTTAGTAACAGATCACCTTTTGTTAAGAAGACTAATTATTTTGTCCGAAGTGTATATATCAATAAGTATTTAGACAGAAACCATTCTAAGGACGTTGTTCTAAGGACGTTGTTCTAAGGACGTTGTTTTAAGGACCCTACTGATAGTCTTACTGCTTTTATTGATTGTTCAGTTCTAAAATGCTTTAGAATTAAATCAAAAGTAATTTTCGATAAGATGATTTTTAGTTATTTTATCTTATTCTTAAAAAACTTTAAATTTAAGATTTGCTTTTGGAATTTGGAATTCTATTTACGATAATGATAATGAATCTACAAATCATACTTTTAATAAGACTTAACATCTTCAAGTGCTTATTTTGTAAATAACAACAATATGTTATAAGAGAATTTATCATGATTAAAAAGGTCATTTTCCGTCTGTGTTTCAGTCAAGTCCATATATAAACCTACAAAATACTCACGAGTAAACGGAATATTTTAGTACATATTATGTATTAGATACTGCAGTGATTAAATAGTGAGTTTAACTGCATCACGCAGCTGTTTCAGCCTTCTACGACTCATCAACGATGTTAGGGTCCTAAATACCTAAGAAGTGACAGCAGAAATTCAAAATTGACCCAATTTTTCAACACATTATACAAAAAATGAGAAAATACCAACATTGCAACATAATCATAATTCAAACTCGAATTCCATAAAATTAGGGCAAAAAAGAACAAAAGAAAGATTTACATGGAGACTCATGAAAAAAGTACAAGGAGAAAAAGACCAGGCGTTCCGGAAGAGATCAGATATTTAGTTCTGTAAAGTCTTAGAAATAGTGGCGTCACTTCAATTTTATATACACGTAGTTGACGTTCTTTTTCAAATCGATATTAAACATTAGCAAAAGTATTGAAATATAGATTTAGTACACAAATCCTCTCCTTCACATTTATTTCAGTCAAGTTAAATCACTGTATGGGTTTCGCATCACCGTAGGTGTCTGGAAGGACGAAATGGTTGCAAGATGCTGTTTTAGTCATATATTTGACATATGCTATGTGAATGTTTAATTTTCATTGAAATGTGGTATAAACTTGTAAACATTTTGTGAATATTCAAGTAACTTATGACGGGTTTATCACGAACCTATAATTATTTAGATTCATTGGTGTTGACAGAAAATTCTTAAAACAGAAAACGTAGTCTTTATTACTTTATATATATATATATATATCTATTTTACCATACAATATCTATAATATATTACATTTGATGTTTACGATAGATTTATATCAAAGTGTGGCCAAGCGCATATTTAAATAATGGATATATATATATAATATATATATATATATATATATATATCTCAGTCAAGGTAATATACACCCCCACAATAGGCCTTTTAAAATTCACAAATCGATTGAAGGTAAAAGATATCATATGGATTAAATCAAAGAAAAGTTAACAAAGAGTAAATATTGAACATTGGCATAGCCAAGCCTACAAATTCCAGTCAACTCAACATTCGGTGTGTCCATGTTAATGGAACATTTCAGTAACAACCAATTTTACAGGGAAATGAAGAATTTGCACCTCAAACATTCGAGAACGCATGCAGGTGGTAGATATTGCTGGTAGACTTGTAGTAACAGTTTTCTGTTCCACGCACGCCATGTTTTAATTGAAGGACACGTACTTAACGTTTTCGTTACGGGATCAATGCACGTAATTATTATCATTAATTAGCTCCTCTGAATCAGAGCCTAAATATGTATTTAAGTGTGTAAGATGCATACGGTTCATTTACATTAACAAAATTATAGGTTACTTTTTTAATCGGAGGTGATGGGAGAAACAACACAAATTAAGGACATTTGTCTGTACATTTTCTGTCAGCTGCAGCTCCCTGTTCCCATTTTAATAGCTTGTTGTGAAAATCATTTTTTTCTTTTTTTTTACTGTTTTATTAATTGCGTACGACTCTAGATAATTACATCCTGTCAGTAATACAGACTTTTATCTATGTGTTGTACCAAATGATAATGGGACGAAATAATAAATTGTGCCTCATCGTGTATGGCTGGGGTGGTCGATAATGATATATAGTCAATTTATTTCCACCAAGCAAGGCTGTTACTTGGTAACTAAACAAAAACAATATAGAAATGGTACATTAAAAAACTCATTATAGATAAATAATGAAGTGAAGATCAGTTGTTCTTCAGGTAAGACTATTATGGTAGGTAGGTAGGGAGGGAGGGAGGGGGTAGGTAGGGAGGGAGGGGACAGGTAGGTAGGTAGGGAGGGAGGGGGTAGGTAGGTAGGTAGGTAGGTAGGGGACAGGTAGGTAGGGAGGTAGGGAGGGGGTAGGTAGGTAGGTAGGGGACAGGTAGGTAGGGAGGGAGGGGGTAGGTAGGTAGGTAGGGGAAAGGTAGGTAGGGGGTAGGTAGGTAGGTAGGGGACAGGTAGGTAGGGGGTAGGTAGGTAGGTAGGGGACAGATAGGTAGGGAGGGAGGGGGTAGGTAGGGTAGGGTAGGGTAGGGTAGGTAGGTAGGTAGGTAAGGAGGGAGGGAGGGGGTAGGTAGGTAGGGAGGGGGTAGGTAGGCAGAAAGGTAGGTAGGTAGGGAGGGGGTAGGTAGCCAGAAAGGTAGGTAGGTTGGTAGGTAGGTAGGGAGGGAGGGGTAGGTAGGTTGGTAGGTAAGGAGAGGTTAGGTAGGTAGGTAGGTAGGTAGGGAGGGGTTAGGTAGGTAGAGAAGGGGTAGGTAGGTAGGTAGTGGGTAGGTAGGTATGGAGGGTGGGTAGGTAGGTAGGTAGGTAGGTAGGTAGGTAGGTAGTGGGTAGGTAAGTAGTTATATACGTAGGGAGGGGGTAGGTAAGTAGGGGGTAGGTAGGGGTAGGTCATCGGTCGGTCGGTTTTCCTAATACGTGGCCTTGGTAAGCATACATTCTAATGGTACCAAATTTTAAAAAGCTTAGGCAGATAACAAACAAAAATAGCAACAGGAATGAGCATGTTTAAATCGATGGCTAAAACGCCAATTTTAATCAAAATAAATTAGGCACCATTAGGTATGCTTACCCAGGCCACGTTTTAGAAAAATATACTTTACCAACACAGATAAACAGTTAAAACACATGAAGGTAATTATCACCGCGAGATCTGTTTTTATTAGCATTTAGGTATTTGATTGATGGTATGTAATCACTGTTTGAATGTTTAATGGTCTTTGACCAAGTTCCGTAGAAGTATACCGGAATATTTAACCAAATTATGTATACACTCTACATTTCGCAATGTAGATTTTAAAGACTAGAACTAAAATACACGTATCTATTCTGTGTTTTTTTCTATGGAATAAACACTGCTCGTTGGGCATTGTCCTTGTGATAAAAGAACGAATTCTAACACTATGCATGATACATATATAGTGTTGAACCGATTTTAAAATATGTAACTGCACATGTGTATGTGTAGAACGACAATGTCGGATAGATAATCGTTATGTGTCAGATAGATGTGTATTTCAACTGAAAAAAAAACAGACATATATTTCTAATATCGTTT